AGTAATTGACTTTACTAAACAATTACTGATAGTCCATATTAAGAAATAACCGAATAGACAATCCCCACTTGTCAAAGAAACTAAAAAAAAAAACGTAAAGTGGTCAGTATTTACAGTCCTGAAGGAATATGTGTGACCAAGTGCAGAGATAAACAAGACATAATTACTAATTAAATGGGAATAAGCCACAATTAAAGGTTAAAGTACGTTTATTGGCATTTCAATTTCCAATTCGGAAATCGTTCTCAAAATAGAAACGTACTTTCGTATTTTGCCGAAAAACCCTCAATTATTTTGCAGTAATTTATAAATGTTAATACCTTCGTTTGTACATAATGGCATTTAATATAATTAATTTAAATTGGGGCAGATAATACGTTATTAATATATATATATATAATAACGTTAATACGTTATAAACATCGAGGTATTGAACAAATTTAACACCGGCAGTGACCATAGACTAGTTCGTGCTGATATACGTATTAACGTAAAGAGAGAAAGACGAAAACTATTAACAACAAACCCTTTACCGACGGCAGACATCCTAGCCAGTAATAAAGAGAAATACCAAGAGGAATTAGCACGAAAACTAGTAGCAAATACCTTTGAGCACAAGAATATAGATGAACTAGCTGAGAAAATAACTAAAGACATACAAACAGTCACTAAGAAACTCTGTTGCAGAATAAGAAAACAAAAGGAAGCTAAACTAAAACCCGAAACTCTAGAACAGATAGAGAAAAGAAGAAGAACGAACAGAGATAACCCGGACTATAAAGCGCTCAACAGAAGCGTTAAGAAAAATATTAAGACCTCAGAGTTTATAGAACAAACCAGATTCTTGAAACCATAGAAAATAATAAGAACATGAAAGTACTAAAAACATGTAAATCCGCTGGCAGGAATAAAATCATAAAGATAAAAGACGACCGTGGAACATTGTGAAGGAAGAGATCGTTAGAGAAATTCGAAAATTTTATGAGAAGCTGTATAGTTCTACTATTCCGAACCCGGTATACCAAAAAAACATATCTTAAATGTGGGCTCAGAGGACTTCCCTGAAATAATAACATCAGAAATTAGAGCCGCCCTAAAACAAATGAAAAATGGGAAAACACCAGGAGAAGATAAAATGACTTCAGAGATGCTAAAAATGGGAGGCACTGCATTAGAAGAGGCAATAAGAGCATTACTTAATAAACGCCTATTGGAAGGACAAATACCGAACACATGGAAAAATGCGGAAGTCATTCTACTCTATAAAAAAGGGGACGCCGCAAATATAGAAAACTACCGACCAATAAGCTTATTGTCACACCTTTACAAACTACTAACGAATAATAACAAATAGATTGACAGCTAAACTAGATGCATACCAACCAGTGGAGCAAGCAGGCTTTCGTAAGGGTTTTAGCACTATCGATCACTTGCAAACAATTCGGACCATTATTAAAAAAACAATAGAGTACAACATACCACTACATCTGGCATTTGTCGATTATCACAAAGCATTCGACAGTATCGAGAATTGGGCTTTCTTAACAGCATTGGACGACGCCAGAGTAGATTCAAGATATGCTGCCCTCCTTAAGAATATATACGATGATGCTACTTTTCACGTAAAAATAGATGATGATCTGGAAACTAGAAAAATAGACCTTGGCAAAGGTGTGAGACAGGGCGACACCATCTCACCCAAGTTATTTACTTTGGCACTAGAAAATGTTTTCAAACAACTAAATTGGGCCGAAAATGGATTAAAAATAGATGGAGAATATCTTAACCATTTGCGTTTTGCAGACGACATAGTACTAATAAGCACAGATATCCATGAACTAAAATCAATGCTACAAGATTTAAATCACAAATCGAATCAAATAGGATTAAAAATGAATCTTGACAAAACAAAGATATTAAGCAACAGCCTAGAAAACATCACGATAGATAACATCAATATAGAAAAGGTAGAACAATATATTATACCTAGGACATGCAATTAAAAACGAAAAGGAAAATCAAACCCTAGAAATTAAAAGAAGGACACAAATATCATGGGCTGCTTTTGGTAAGTTGAGCTTCATTTTAAAAGACAGAAAAATCCCAATTCACTTAAAACGAAAAACCTATGACACTTGTATACTACCAGTTGCAACTTATGGATTGGAAACTATGGCAATAACAAGAAAAATGGCAGAACAATTAAGAGTAATTCAACGGGCCATGGAGAGGGCCATGTTAAATATAAGCCTCAGAGACAAAATTCCTAACACCGAAATACGTCAAAGAACTAAAGTAACCGACATCATGGAAAAAATAGCGACATTGAGATGGCAATGGGTAGCACATGTAGCAAGACAAGACACCAACAGATGGTCTCATAAAGTGACATTCTGGAGACCTCGAGAAACAAAAAGAAGCGTGGGAAGACCTAAAAAGAGATGGATAGACGATATAACTGCTGTAGCTGGAAAGCAGTGGATGAGAATTGCAAAAGATAGGGAAGCGTGGAAGCAATTGGAGGAGGCCTATGTCCAACATTGGATAAATGAAGGCTGAAGAAGAGAAGAAGAATACATTATTAAAGTGTGGTATATTTCACATAGATCACAAAGTTATCCAATTTGTTTATCCCAAAGAGCGATTATCTAAACGACTGTACTTGACCAGATAGTCACTCTGTACTCTCTATACACACGTGTATTCTGTAAATCGAACTCGCTTTTATAAGAGTTCGTACTTTCAACGGAAAAATTTAGTAAGATAGGTCAAAATAGCACAATTCTTATTATTTGGTTGAGCTACCCTAGTAAAGAAATGAAGGTTCTACGTGCCACAGAAGCCGAGATATTAAATATTTTGCAAGCGTGCTTCAATTTAAAGTCCGAATCTAAAAAAAAAAAAGCTCAGTCAGTTCTTACCTCCATGGTACTTTTCCGTGGCGGTAATTTACGAATACCATTATTTTAATGGGTTATAACATTTTACTCCTTTACTGTGTAAGCCATCTATACCTTCGATCATATATTATAGATCTTAATTCAAAATCTTTTCAATTTTTAGATCTTGTATTAATAAACAATAAAAATATGATTTTAAGAATTAAATGTTATCTTAGTTCTTATTGGTTAAATATGGTTCTATTTTTGTCTCTTTGTTTTCTTATAAGCCATTAAGATTGCAAATTACAAAATACTTGTACATACAAGTATTGGACAAGTATTTGGACAAGTTCAAAGTGATTTGCTTACTATTTAGCACACCTTAAAAACCCATTAATTGCGATAATTTGAAGTAGCTATATTATCTGCCGTTGGGCAAAAAATTCAATTATTATCATTTATAAATTACTAAAAACATAATATTTTAGAGTTTAGGGTTTTTTGCAATTACCTTGCTCAATTAATTATATATTTTAATTTGGTATCTCTCAACATAAAAAACCTTTTATGGTCTACAACTTTTATTTTAATCATTTTTCTTTAGAATGTAAAAAAACGTTTAACAAGCAAACATTTTTTTTTGTATCTTTTAAGATTGTTAAAAAAAAAGAACAAAGCATAATCAACTGTACATCTTAGAGTATAGATACATATAGATACATATTAGAGTATAGATATAGTACAATAGTATCTCTCATACTATTTAGAATTTAAATAACCGTAGATTTTTGAAAACTATTTACCGAGGTTCTGTGAAATACTTTCTTGTTGCATGGTTAAGTTAAATATTATTTTTTTATGTCTATTATGTATATAAAAATGTAATATTAATTACATTTTTAATTAACTAATATTTATTGTTTATTGTACAAATTATCTAAAATGTGTATACACATTTTGTACAAAAAAACATTTTTGAGAACGATTTCCGGAATGGAAATCAAAATGTCAAACACAAGTTAATTAAAAATGTGATTCTTATCACAATTACAACCAATAATTGAGGCGTAATCCCATAAAAACATAATATTTACCTCAAACTATTCACCGATAGCTTGGATTAAACAGGTTGTAAATTGAAATTTATGTAAAATATTCCCCTACACAATTCTCTGGGAAAAATATCTACCTTAAATAAATATATCTAACATTTAGGCAAAGAAAAAACCAGTTAAGACCGCAACGTGTTAGCAGGTCGTTAGCACGTTGACCGAAAACGGATCGATATTTATGTACCTAGATATTATTTTAAGTATTAATACCGGCAACATCTATTGGCTTTAAAATGATAGCAAATACAGTGATTTTAAATGATCGATGTTAAAACGTAGGATTGATGTAAAAAATTAAATATATAAAAAAATCAGAATATTGAAAAACCGACAACGCTGCTAAGCCAACAGAGGTGCACTAAACGAACATACACGACTTATATATAGAAAACAATAGATTTTCTTGGTGATGCTAAATTACTGCAACGTGAAACGAGTTTAAAATGATGGCGGGATGTATATATATATATATATATATATATATATATATATATATATATATATATATACATATATATATATATATATATATATATATATATATATATATATATATATTATATATATATATATATATATATATATATATATATATATATATATATATATATATATATATATATATTATATATATATATATATATATATATATATATATATATATATATATATATATATATATATATATATATATATATATATATATATATATATATATTATATATATATATATATTATATATATATATATGTTACAGCTCCCGCGGAAATATCAAAACTAACATATATATATATATATATATATATATATATATATATATATATATATATATACTTTTATACTTAGTATACTTGTATTTTAACTTCATATCGAATAAATTGAAGTTGTTTCACGCTAGAATACGATTAATTTAGTTTAATAGAAAAGTATATAAAATTGTATTAATTAGTTTTATGTTTTTTAACTTGATATTAAATTAGAGTTTTAACAATAAAAAATATTTTACCTTGAATGTATTTACGGTAAATTCATCATTGCCTCGAGCAACGCTTTGGAGATTGTCAGCATTGCATCCAAAAAATAATGCGAATATTAAAACGACTACAGCACGCATCATTCCAACTTCGCAAACAAAGTAAATATAACTAAAAATTGGGTTGGTATATGTTGCAGTTAAAATTCAATTAATTTAAATAATCAAGTTAATTAATATGATTCACTATCTATAATAACTTTTTGTTAAGAAAAGGACGTGGTGTTTATTATGTGGCCATTAAATATTAATTAAAAAATGAGAAAGTTTAAAAATTTATATAATATGCGAATCATTCTGAAGCAAAGTTTTTATACAGGCATTTGTAAAAATGTTTTTGTGGCAATCCCAATGGCCATTTTTATTTTTTAACTTTTTGCTCTAAACAAATCAATTGATCTGCACTGATACCAATCACGTAGATTCTTCAACTACGAATTTTGCTTAGTGTTAAAATTTCATATTTTACGTGACTTTAGTATTCCAGTTTTCTTGTTTGTAAGTGGTGATTAGTTATGTTTCTTTACTAACCCTATCTACTACTTCTTTTTAAATTGCTTTTTTGTTAATCCCAAACTTAGCTCAACGTCATAATATTGAAGATATACAGGGTGTCTCATAATTAATTGGACATTAGCTAACGGGTTATAGCTGACATTAAAATAAAGCGTTAAAGCTCAAATTGCTTAGGCAATGTTGCTAGTTTTCTCTCTACAGGGTGATTCAATAATATTCTGTTATATTATTTTTAGGGATATATTGAAAACTATTTAACCCATTTAAGTAAAATTTGGTATCTCGCTATTATTTAGTATGCTTAATATGAAAATGATATTAGTTTTATTAGTTTTATTAGGTGGAGACACAAGGTGACGCCACCTACTATAACATTGGTTCATTAATGTGGTCATATTTTTTTGTCCGCCCTGTATCAACATTCTAGAAATAAAAATATGAAATATTCAATTCTACACAAAAAAGCTATTCTTGTTTAAATAAAAAAAAGTACATCGTTTTCAAAATGAACGTATTTTATTAATGATACGCATATTTAATTTTTCGCAAAGCGAGCTGGTACCTGGGTATGCTGTGAACTCAATGGCAAAGTCAGGACGTAAGTACGAATTTGTTTATTATTTGTTGTCAAAGTACAGTGCAAGTCAATGCATGTCAATTATTATAAAAAAAAAAAAAAGAATATGTGTGTACTTTTTACGCAGGTAAGAAGTTTTATTTGTGTTTTATTTAAATTTTATTTTAAATGAAATTTTAAACAAATTTTAACACTTACAAGTTTCCTAAAAAAATTTTTAAACAATACTGCGAATAAAATAACTAAAGTAAGCAAGTCAAAAAAATGACATGTTTCTAAGCGATCACCCATCGAAAGTTTGATCCCGGTCGACACTGCTTGACTCCTGTTTTCGAGCTACAACTGGTGTAAGCCACTGTGCTTATGGCCGTAAAATTTATACTAAAATGAAATATCTTGAGATATTATATCTACAAATATAATATTATTAAGATTGCCTTTTAATCGTATTTTCGTTATATTTTAATATCTATTATCCTATTTCCGACGAAGGGCAAATTCAATTACACAAAAATTATAAAATACATTATTTTTTTCACACTTTATTTGTACTGATATACACGTAACTTCAAAGAGTTAGCAACTAACTTTATACTGCCGGTGAGCGCGTATGTACTTCATATTGTCATTTTCATAAAAATTCACTCTCAACATTTTTCCCAATTGCACCTAAAGAAGTATAACTTCAAAAATATGAATTAACATTCAATTCTACACAAAAAAGGTATTTAGTCTTCTTTTGCATCAAAAAAAATACACCGTTTCCGAACTAAACGTAATTTGTTAATGATGCATGTCTATATAATTATTTGAAAAACAAGTATGCTTTGAACTTATTGGCAACGTCAAGACGTAACTAAGAATTTATTTATTATAAGTTGTCAAAGTGTAGTGCGAGTCATTATTTGTCAAAGTACTATTAAGTTTTTTATAAACCACTTAAGATAAAGGTAAAATGCCCCGTCATAGTGAATTTTGTAATGTAGAAATGCGCTATATGATCTGTTTGTATGCCCAGGAAAATTTTTGTTCTCGTAAAGCATCTCAACGCTATTTCGAACTGTATCCCAATAGAAGGCAACCAAGCCATAATACCGTTAGATCATTGTTCGACAGATTAGGCGAAACAGGACCATTTCATTAAAAAACAGGAATGCTGGAGGACCTAGTGTAATTATTGTAAATATGGAGGATGAAATTGTTGTGCGTATTGCAGAATATCCAAAAACCAGTATAAGGCTTGTTTCTGTGGCCACTGGTATAAGCAAATCTACGGTGTCAAGAATAATACGGACAGAAAATCTGTATCCGTATCGTTTTACTCCAGTACATAATTTTTACCACAGGATTTTCCAGCAAGGCTCCAATTTAGTCAGTTTATTATAGGGCGGCATTTAGACGATCCAATTTTATAATAAAATATTATTTACCCGTGAAGACACATTTACTAGAAGATATGTGTTTAACTGACGTAATAGCCATACCTATGCGACAGAAAATCCTCATGCATTTCGTGTGTCATATTTTTTAATTGTACTGTAAGACTATTCAAATTACCAATTAGGCTTGTATCTAAATTTTTTGAGAGAAAATATACCAACTCTTTTAGAAGATATACCTCTAAATTTGAGACGTAATTCTTGGTACAGTTGCGGTCACGGAATAGTTTACACCTTACTTTTTATATTGTAATACTGTAAAATTGCAGTGTCGTACGGATTTGATAAATGTCAAAGTCAAAAAATTTCAAAACGTCAATGCTTTCGCGAGTGTTCAACAATAAAATAAAAGTATATTAAACTCTTCCAAAATGGTTAGAATACATTTGAATTATGCGCAAAAAGCAAGAGCAATTGCCAAATCGAAGAAGGTTGGTCACTAAGGCAAGTTGCTGCTGATTTGAAAGTGAGTCATATGTGATATGGAAGATTAAACAAAGATGGGATAATTTTCACTCTATAGCACGGTTGGGCGGTTCAGGAGGGCAGAAGATTTCCACAGATCAACAGGATGAGATGTTAGTAGATTATTTGAGAGAATCTCCTTTTGCCACAGCTCAAAAGGCAAGAGAAGAGGCAGCGTTTCCAGGCAGTATTCGCACTGCACGTCGAAGAATTAAAGCAAGTGGACTGCTAAATTGTGTAGCTGCACGGAAACCTTTTTTGACTGAGGATCACAAGAGGAGACGAGTTGAATTTTGTAATGAATTTATAAACCGCGATGAGAATTTTGGTCTAGGGTTGTATTTTCCGATGAAAAAGTATTTCAGTCGTATAATAATGGTCGAATAAGAGTTTATAGGCCGAGAAATCATAGGTATGATGAACAGTATACGCATCATTTAAGAAATAGTGGAAGATTCTCTGTCAACGTATGGGGATGGATAAGTGCCGAAGGCCCGGGCGTTTGTTATCATGTAGAGGAGAAGTTAACAGGATTATATTACAAACATATTATTGAGCACACAATGTTGCCATCGGTGATCCAGAGATTCCCCAACAACGACTTTATCTTCCAACATGACAATTGCCCGGTGCATACGAGTAGAATTGTTCGAGAATGGCTAGAAGAAACTGATGTTAATGTTCTTCCGTGGCCTTCCGGTAGTGCAGACTTTAACCCGTCGAAAATGTGTGGGCAGAGTTAACAAAGAAACTAAATGAAAGAAACCTTAGACCACGGAATAGAATTGAATTATGGGAAGCAATGAGCAGGCATGGGAAGAGCTTGTTAACTATAACATGAGGGGATTGGTGCTATCTGTGAACAGAAGACTGCAAAATTGTATTGACAAGAATGGGGCTTCCACCAAATATTAATTATTATTTATCATTGTTTATCGTTATTTAATATAAAATAGATTTAAAATAAAATGCATATTAAAAAAAAAAGACTTCTTTATTTTCGTTATTAAGATCATAATCCATTTTATTCAAAAACTGTTTTCTATATTTTTCATTTTGTAAAATATTTTGATATTTTAATTTTAATCTACCTATTCTAGCTAGTACACCACTGGCAACGTCACTTTGACGTAAAAGGTGCGTTTAAACGAAGTAAAAATTTAAAAAATGGGCTCCTAGATACGTGAACCTGTAAACTATTCCGTGACCGCAACTGTACATTCAAGATGGTGCACCACCACATTATAGCCCAGGCTTAGAAATTAGTAATTATCTACATGAAATTTATTCTCAAAGCTGGATTGGTAGAAGTAGTGTATACCCATGGCCAGCACGCAGTCCCGAATTAAATCCCCTAATGTCACTTGTTTATAAAAAAGATAAATAACCGTCAAGAGTTATGCCACTATATTGTAGGGGAAGTTAACATAATTAGGGCCTAAAGAAACTCATTATTTCAAATAAAACAAAACTTACACAAAAGATTAAGTTTATGTAGTTTAGCTAATGGTGAAAATTTTGAACACTTTCGTTTCATCTCATTTTTTTTTTTCGTTTCGTTTTGAATTATTCACTTTGCCAGTTATTTTATACTCACTTCATTGTTTAATTTAATTTTTAATATTTTTTTAATTTGTTAGAGGAGAAGGTGGTAATATGGCACCTACTAGTAATAAATAAAATAAAAATCAAAATAAAAATAAAAACGTTTATTGCCTAACAATATATCACAATTCAAACTTAAAAATTTTAGCCTTCTCTCTTCGGTGTCCCGCACTTGCGCCGGGTCCTTGCCAGCGTCTGTGGATTTGTCCTCTCGGGTCCTGGTGTTTTCTCGGTGGTGTCCTCTTCTCCTTCTAAGTCGGCCCTCGAGGGAATTTGTAACTTCCGCCAATGCCATTGTTGATTTACGCTTGATACTACATTTATCTTTATATATCGAAACTTGTCAGGAGCCGAGAACTACCGCGTTTAGCCTTTCGTCGACTTACAAAACTCGCTTCATTCACGTGCTTAACAAAACTTTTTGCCGTTCTTATGTTTATGTTGTGTTTTCGAAGAAACCAAATATAAACATTATCTTTCTCTGATTAGTGT